CCTTAATAAACAATCAAGAGGGTCTAAAACAGAACTTTTTTGTATTATACACTAAGCTCAAAAACGATTTAAGATAGGTAGAAATAAGGTACGAAAATGGGGAATAAAGGGGTGAGATTCTTACCCTTGAAGACCTCTTCAACAATGATGCTCCAATGGCCTTCCTTGGCTTGAATCCAACACCAAAACACCAAAATCAGCCCCTTAGAACTCAGGAGCCAAAAAAAGGTGAAACACTAGTGTTTTGTGTGCAATAGTAAGACACAAAACACCTAGAACACAAAGAGAGAAAAAGAGAGATAGGATATGTATGGATCCTAACCCTAAAAACCAGAGCTTCTCTCTGTGTTTTTTTCTCTAAAAGGTCTAAAGTCTCCAACCCTTGCAACAAGAGAGAGCCCCTCTCTTTATAGAAGCTTTTGTCTTGTAAAGCTTACAAGACAAGCTTCATAAGAGGGAGATCCCTCCATACACGTGTATGGAGGGGAGCAAAAGGCAAGACAGCTGTCTTAAAATATCTGCAAAAGCAGATGCACAGTAGTCGGCCGGCCAAAAATGCCATTTTGGCAAAAAAAGAGTGCCGACCGGCACTAAATAGTGCTGACCGGCACAAAATAGTGCCGACCGGCATATACATTGCCGGTGGCAGCAAAAACCAGCCGGTGGCCTCTAGCCACTGCCGGTGGTTATGGGGATGCCTCACAAGGCATTCCCTGCCCTTCCAAGGAAAACACAAGTGTTTGGTGCAAAACCAGACATAAACGGTCGAGTTCGGAGATCCTGAAGCAAGGCGCGTAGCCGAGACCTCCGGGACTCCAAACGAACACAAACATGGATGATCACCGAGTGTTCAAACGGTGACGTCCAAGTCTTGAGGACGTCAAAAATGGGGTGTCTACAGTTGCTCCTCTTTGACAGAACTCGAAAGTCATTACAATGACGGGAGTGAATGCCAAAGCCCAGAGACGACCCATTTTTGACAAGGCCGAAGACTTAGACAAACATGCAAGACAAACAAGGTATGCGCCCGAAGGCAGGGGCAAAATACAAGACAATGCACGAAGCCGAGCATAACTTATGATCATGCAAAGAAAGCTGTAATGAAGCACGCATGCGACAACTTTAAGCTAGCAAACACCAAACTACACTACAATGCAGAAAGGATGTAAGAGAATTATGCAATCCCGATACATCTCACTCGAGGATACAATACTTGGGCGGCTCGTCTGGTTGCACCATTCTCAAATGAACCGTACATACAATATCGTGCCTGCAAAGAAAACAAACTTAACAGGTACAATATTGTTAACGATGTGCATAGTAGCGTACTCGAAATACGTGACAGCGCAAAAGCAAGTGGGAAGCATAACAATGCTATGAAAATACAGAGTGTGTTTTGTGGTTTGGGTTTGTTTGACCCCTCCTAAGTAATCAGTGCAATGTATGGCTGCAAGTTTCGAGACTTTGGTGTTTGGGCCTCTTCACCACTGAAATCTTGAGGGATTTCAGTGGTGAAGATGGTGCCTTGAAGTCTCTAAAAGGAGAGGGCCACCCCCTCTCCTTGTTGTCCTTGAAATGGACCATTTTTGGCCTCTTGAGGGAGCACCATGTTAGAGTGTGTATTGACCATGCCTTGGCTGTTTTTTGTGCCTATTATATCATAATATGCCTCTGTTTATTGTTGGTTTTGGTACACTATGCATGCTTAGCATACCTACCATGTAATGCCATGTTATTGCCTCAATGTGCCTTAGGTTGTTAGCCCTTGTTAGAGCATGTTTTAGGTTTAGTCTTGTGAAGGTCTTGTGCATATTTTGCCATGCTAGAGGTCTGTCCATGGTTGTTTGGGTCGGATTTCGCATGTATTGCATAGGCCCTTTGCATTCCGGCTTGTTGGCCTCAAGTGTGTGAGTTTGTAGCATGCACTATTTGCTTCATTCTAATGATTTGGCATCATTTATAGCATAATTTCAGACCTTATAGCATACTTGTATGTTTGCTTTGGACACCACTTCGAAGCTTTGGAAGCTTGACTTGCATGCCCCATGTTTTGGCCTTTGTGTATACTTTTGATTTTGAGCCACTTAGATGCCATCTAGGGGGTCCCCTTTGCATGATCTAGGTCTGCCTTGAACCTATTTTAGGTCCCCTTAGCCTTGTGA